CCTTGATTCTGAAGACAGACTTTTTTTGATTTTTTTCATGCAGCCCCCCCCCCCCCCCACGTTTGTTCAGGTGAGTAGGCTACAATGAACCCAACACCAGCTACTACCGATGATACGCTTTATAGCCTAGCGAAAACTGTGATCTTCGGACACTTTTTATGTGGGCGCCATCCGATGTTAGGGTAGCACACATGGCTGGAGCGCTGAACTATAGCTCTGCTTTTCCGAGTATTACGCATAATGGGGATTTTTTTGGGGAACTTAACTAGAAATTCCTCTAACGGCTCCTCTTATGCTGCACCCCGCCTATTAACGAGCCTCACTTTTCGATTCCCGACTTTGGAAAGCGATGGACGAGCTGACATATATGTCGACGGCGATTTGAAGTGAACGCGCTGTCGGTTGAGATGCTCGTGGGCTTGAATGTTTGTCTGGGCAGCTTCGACACGAGTTCAGCGCTCACTGATGCACGCCTTAATGAGTGAACGTCGGCGGGTTTCGGTGAGCAAACACGTAGTCTCCGAACCCTCGCCACATCGCCGCGATCTGCGAATTCTCTCCAACCCCACCCCGCCGCGCATCTTTATTCCATTGTCTTCAAATCGCTTTTCATCGCGTAGCTTTTTGCATTCGGCTAATATTACAGACCGGACTGGTGATCAAACAAAGGTGTCTTCGGTCCATCTACCTGATTGAGGGATTAATCGAAGACATCGAGAAGGCAGAAAGTCACGCCAAGGGAGTATGAGTGTAGAAACGGGGCACAGTAGGCAAAATGCCGCTTTTGATTTAGAAACCATTCCGAGGTAGGGAATGGGACTGTATCTTGGCAAAAGGACTGTTTCAGCTTCCAGCCTCTACCCAGCAATTGGGAGGTTCCTATTTGGCGTCAAACTTGCAACCTTTAATGGCAGATAATCAGTTGGTTCTTTGAAATTTTTTGACTATGCGTAAAAAGCTCATCAACTCCTGACAATTCCTTACCTGGCAGGCCTGCCCACAAATTGGCTGAGCTTGGAGAACGACGACTTGTTGTGTGCCACAGGACTGCTCGCAACTGCTCTGGCAGGTTTGTGAACACTGTGAGTTTCCACCACAAGAATTCTGACAACTCGGGAGACATGCTTGGACGCAGACCTGTTGTTGCTGCACACATTGAGGTTGACAAGATGGCTGACAGGCTGGCATACACTGTTGCTGTTGAGGTTGCTGTTGAACGACGATCACCGGCTGAGTTTGTTGGGTGCAGGAAGCCTGGCAGCTTGGCATGCAAGACTGCACACACTGCTGGTTACCACCACATGAGCTTTGGCAGGACGGCTGGCACGCTGACACACAGATCTGCTGTTGTTGTATACACTGAGGAGTGCAGGACGGCTGGCATGGAGCAGGACAGTTGTTCTGGGAAGCCTGCTGGACAACTATAACGGGGTTTGCCTGCTGCACACAAGAGGACTCGCAGCTCGGCAGGCAAGCCTGTACGCATTGAGTGTTGGAACCGCATGAGCTCTGACAGCTTGGCTCGCAAGCAGCGGCGCAGATTTGCTGCTGCTGGACACATTGAGGGGCGCAGGATGGCTGGCAGACTGGAGCACATTGCTGTTGCTGTGGCTGCTGAACGACTATGATTTGCTGCTGTTGCTGTTCTACACATTGCGGTGTGCACATGGGCTGGCAGGCTGGAGCGCAAGCTTGCTGGACGCATTGGGGCTGGCATGATGGCATGCACGACGGAGCACACTGTTGTTGAGGTTGCTGGACCACGATTATCTGTTGTTGCTGCTGTTCGATGCACTGCGGTTGGCAAGCCGGCATGCAGGCAGGAGCACATTGTTGCTGGGGCTGTTGCTGGACTACGATGATTTGCTGAGGTTGCTGGTTGCAGTTGCCACCACACGAAGCCTGGATACATTGAGGCTGACAAGCAGGCATACACGCAGGAATACACTGCTGCTGGGGTTGCTGCTGGACAACAATGATCTGCTGCTGTTGCTGTTCCACACACTGAGGCGCACACATCGGCTGACAAGCAGGGGCGCAGGCTTGCTGAATACACTGAGGCTGGCAAGACGGCATACAGGCTGGTGCACACTGCTGCTGTGGTTGTTGCTGAACGACGATTATCTGTGGTGGCTGCTGCTGCTGGATGCATTGTGGCGTGCACATGGGTTGGCAGGCAGGAGCACAAGCCTGCTGGATGCACTGTGGCTGACATGCCGGCATACAAGCCGGAGCGCACTGCTGCTGAGGCTGTTGCTGTACGAGAATGAGCTGCGGTTGTGGCTGCTGCATGCAACCCGGCTGACAGGATGGCATGCATGACGGAGCGCACATCTGTTGTGGTTGCTGGCACTGACTGCAGGAAACCTGGAAAAGAGGGTACTTCAGAGCTGTTTCTCGGTTGTGACAAACAAAATGAAGCTGTACTTACCTGATACGTCAGGGGACCACATCCACAGCTCGAGTACTGCTGTTGCAGTTGGACGCAGTTACAGCTAGGATTTGGCGGCATTTGACAGCCACACTGTGGTTGCAGCATATTGGCGCAGTCGCATTGTTGCACCTGAAATATCGGAGCATTTGGTAAATATCTGGAAAACGAGAATGTATCCTTCCAGTAGCAGGATTGTGCCCTTTATCAGCTGCAACGGCTTGAATGTCAGGATGTATCAATGAGAACCCAATTTTTTGGTTGTTTTAGTCGAATTTTTCATTAGTTTCACTTTATTGTCTTAACTTTGCCGAACAGAACCCTCTGCTTACGTAGGATAATAAACTTAGAAGAGAACTGAAAAGAGGAGTCAAAAAGCTTTTCAGATAGTCAAAAAGAGCAGCACAAGTGCGGACTCAATCGCCTAAATGGGCGAAAAGCGGAGCGGGTGAAGATGTGAGAACTGAAATAAATTTGTGTGAAAAAATCCGTTCTCTCTCAAATCTGTTCTGTTCGGTTATTTTTAGTGAATGCTTTCACCTTTTGAAGCTGCTGTTTACTGTTCAGCAGAAGGTGAGCAAATAAAACAAACAAGTAAACAAGGATAGATATTTACTCATTGTGGTGTAGAGAAATGTACATTTACCCATAAATGACCGCAAATTACAAACGAAATGGTGGTCCGAAGTCTTCGAATTCAAGTTCGTTGAACCACCCACTAGAAGGAACTGCTTCAACTTAGTTCCTTTTTTTAAGTCCCTCAATTCTGTAGTACGTTCAGGGTGGCATTTCCGTATTTTAAAATTTCAAATGAGAAAGAACGTATGCTACCTTATTGTAGAAGGATTAGTTGAGTAGGGGGTATCTGCCCTGCAGAATCGATGGGCCAAGATACAAGTACACGTCTTTTTGGTTACAAAGTTGGAGTTTTCGTCAGTACTTTGTTTGTAAACAAACTTCATGCTTACCTGTAACTGTAGAGCAACACAATTGCATTGTTGTGCTTGTTGAGGGCAGCAACTGGTCTGAGCTTGATAGCAGCATTGGCGCTTTGCCCTTGAAAGGGTTATCGTCGTTGCTTCTTTCTGAACACAAGCTGCTTCAATAAACTACTACAAGAACGAATTGGTTAATGGGAAAGCTCTGGGAAGAACCACTTTTTCTGATTAAAATCAGAGATCGCCTTTTTTTAGAAGAATTTCTGCCGATTTCCTTTTTCTAGGTTGATCTCTGAAGCGAAACTGAAGCTGCTCAACGCCAACACGTTTTTCAGCATAGCACCACTTATCGTTTGCACTGCTAGCCCCGAGGAGATGCGGTTGTCTAATCTGTCGACCGGGATGTCAAACAGACCACGCAGCGCAGGAGCCCGTCAATGGGAGCTGGACATCTCTGCGAGCCACTATACGAACACCGTGAGAAAAGCATCAAGGTCGATCACTGTTGGAAAAAAGGATATTCAGGAAAGAAACTCACACTTGCATCCTCCTCGTTAGTGGAATTGTCACCCGAGGCGAGGGTATGTACACTACTCAGACCAAGCACGAGCAAGAGTAGTAGATGAGGTCGAGCCGCGCTCATTGGAAGCAGAAGGGGAAGGAGCAGGGCAGATGTCTGAAATATTGCTGATGTGTACGTATTCTGGAAAAGCGTTCCACAACAACGGCGTAACCGCATAAACAAACGATGGGTGGGGCTGGGAAGAGTGCACTCGAAGTTCGAACGCAAACAGACATGCAACTAGCCCAGCGTCCAGCCGGAGCCCCTCGAAATAACCGGCACAATGAACGCGACGAGCCTGATTCAGGGATGATCGGCGAACAATCGGAGAAGATTGGTGGTCAGGGAGCAACGGAATAACCGGACTGGGCGTCCGGATGCTTTACGAGCTCCGCAAAAAAGACCGGCGTAGTGACAAAAAGAAGAGCAAAAGGATCAAGTGTGTACGAGAGCGGAATGGCCGTTATGTTCTCGTAACGGGTTCGCAAAGGCGTCATTCCGAAGCAGTGTCCTGAAAGAAACCCACTTTCTAATCCGTAGTTTCGAGGAAATTCCTCAATCGTGTGGACCTTCCCACTCATAAATCCCCACACACATTCCTATTTGGATTCACTCCTTCTACTGCTTTTCTTACTACTCATTCACCTCTATTACAAAGCCATTAGCGCATCTTACGTGCCTGTACAGTGCCCATTACTGAGCAACTGCCGTTACGAAAGGGCCCAATAGGCAATGTTAACTTACTAAAAAAGTGAATAAGCAAAATAAAGTGGACCTAGGTGTACCGGTCAGGTTAACCAAAACTGTTACAATTTGGAGAGCATCTTAGCATTTCCCACACGGAGTCGATGAGCTCCTTGTAAGAACCGTGAAGAATTTCGTCGAAAACAATTACTCGGGTGTGAAAGCATTCAATTTAAGGCCTACGGCACAAATAGTCACCCTNTGCTGCTGGGGCTGTTGCTGGACTACGATGATTTGCTGAGGNAATTTGGAGAGCATCTTAGCATTTCCCACACGGAGTCGATGAGCTCCTTGTAAGAACCGTGAAGAATTTCGTCGAAAACAATTACTCGGGTGTGGAAGCATTCAGTTTAAGGCCTACGACACAAATAGTTACACTAATAACTAAATGTTTGTATAATTTGGACTTTTTCCTAAGACGAATACAGGAGACACTTTTGTGACACATGAAAAAGCGGCTTCATTCAACAAATTTCAAAGAGTTCGTCTACAAAAGTAAATTTCTCCAAGTTGCCGATTCTGAGAGATGATCTACAGTGGAAACAACAAGTTGATATGATAAAACGTAATTTGACCCATCATGTGAGTGATGGGGAGGCTCAAATGCGCAAGAGGAATGACAAGAATGGACCTCATCTCTAAAGAGGCGGAGCCTACCGTGCGAACGATGAAGCTGGCGCTTGTGTGCACGAGTTCGTTTTATAGTTGACGGAAAGCTGCTAAGGGCGGAGGAGCCATGACTAAAATAGAACCCAAAAAAACCACGATTGGTTTTTGGTTGAGAGTCGCCGGACCTGAACACTGCTACGACATATGTTCAGAAGGTGGTTATGAAATCCAAGAACAAACACCGAAAAAAATTGGAGGAAACAAAAAAAAANAAAAAAAAACCGAATTCAAGTCAAACAAGGACACAACTAGCAATAACTAGACTGACAATTGTATAAAATATGCACCTGAAGTAGTCCGAAAGTGTCTTCCTGGAGAGGTGGTACCTATGAGACTATGTTTATAAATTGGGGCATTTTGGATTCCCTTAATGATTCTAGAAAATTCACTCTGCTGAATCCTTTCGAAAAACTCGAAAGAGAAACATTAAAAAGGGAAATTGGCTGAACACCTACGCATCCAGAAATAAACAACCCATGAAGAAGTAAGTAACCATTTCGAGGGTCGACCATTGCGTTCTAAGGTTTGCACGCCTATGCACTCGACATTCTGTCAAGAATCATAGTGATGTCTGGATCCGAATTCGGCTTATACTATGTAGTTACTTGAGCTGGCCAGCAATTGAAGGTATGTGCCTTTATCCTCCCAAACAAGCCTGGAGCCAATTTACCTGAGCCGGAAAGAACAAAGTCTTGGCGGCTCGGATAGTATCATTCGAGACTTGTCGCCAATCAGTATGGGACCAACGAGCAACATGACACCTCCTCAACTCATCTCAAACCATTACTAGTTTCCACCGGCACCTCAAACTAATAAGTTTATATTCTTCGATAAACAGAGAACTTCTCGATTTAGAGAGTGTTATCTATAGCCCATTTTGGATAAAATTAAGGTTTACCACGCCACTACGATAAAATCTGTGTCTGGGTGGTCATCAATTGCAACATTCGATCACTGGCATTCAGATCCTTCTCTCCTAATTACCCCTTCTAATGGACAGCCGTGTTCGAACTTTTTCCAAGACGTAACGAACATGATTGAAACATCGGTTCTAGACTGTATGGACTACACCAACAAATTTGCTCAATCGTTCTGCTCCATTCCTATTCAAAAAAGAAACCAACGACGCCCAGTTCTGTGAACTTCAGAAGTAGTAAACTACAGAAGTGGCACAGACAGTGCTTCAGTGGGTTGTATGTATCATAGGTACGCGCCCAATCAAAGGTCAAGAAGCAAAGGTCTAATTCGGGAGTAGCCTCAAAGAGAGCGAAGTCGTTCAAAATCGAACATATTGGCTTGGATACTACATTCTGCTTTTCAAAAATTTAAAGAAAGGACCTCCAAGTAGAAGGGAGCTAACTTATTTGTGGAATAGTATGAGTGATTCTGATCACTCGCTCAGATGTATGGGTGAAAAAATTGTGGTTGGCATGAACATCGCGTTCCCGTAAAAGGTACCGTACCTCTCAGCCGAATAATAATTGGTAACAGTTGTTGATTATGTTATTAAAAACGAGCTTAAATTGAACCCCTCCTGCAGGATAAAGGATGGAAGTGTAATGCCGAAACCTCCTATTCATCTCTGGAAGAAGAGTAGGAGAGAATGTCGCTCTGGAGCAAGAGATCGTGGGGCAACCTTCTTTGCACCTATTGCTTCATAAGTTAGGAGTTGCCATTTCAGGAGAAAACCACGGAATGCTGATAATATTCATAGCCTGTCTTCTTGACTTTTTCTTCGGAAATTCGTTTTTGAACCCATCCTGTCTCGTGACCCTGTATTATCGGGAGTAATAGAATTTTTTGGTGGCATATCCCTTTCTGGCTGAATGTCTTCCTTTTTATCTTTTTTACGTTCTTTCGAGCCTTACCTCAACTAACTGGCCACTACAAAATGCTGGTTATATCTTTGTCAGGCCCTACCATACGGGACTGCCTAGATGACATCATGAGGGTACGTTTTCCGAAGATGTTGTTTATTTTGAACCTTCGTCAAATAAATAGTTGACTGAAAATGCTCAGCCCCAGGCAAATTATCTTCCAACATGTACCATGTATTTGATGGTAAGCATATCTGCTCGGTGAATATTAACGTTCCACCACATTCAGTAACAGCTGATCATCTCCCTAAACAAATAGTTGAACCCAAGCGCGCAGTTCAGTGGACGACCAGGACGTCTCTCTGATCTTCAAAACTGACAGACCCTGTGGTATAATACACTGTTTAGGTTGAAGAATCCGTTAAAAACTCCTCGTAAGTCCAATTGTCCCCTGGTCTGGCAACTTCCGTAAGAAAACCGCCTTTCCATGAGGAGATGGGTTTTTCTAACAGGCTCTGACGAAGTTGACTTCCGAAACGTTAGCCAAGTAAAAAAATGTATCATCTTGGCCAAGGCTTCAAGGAAAAACACTTACGATTTCAAGACAACAGTCCAAGATTAAGCGATAGTCGAACATGGTAG